CTGAGGAGGAATGTAAACTGATCACATGTTGTTGAGCCACATGGGATACAACTCCTAAGTGAAAGCCTCCTAGTACTTTCCTGAGGAAGGTCCTATGGGTCTATTCACTTAGTTCCCTTAGTTTATCTAGGATTTCTCAAGTATCCAATGATGTTGGAGCCAACTTGTGAGTTTAATTTCTCCTGAGGAGGAATGTAAACTGATCACAGTTGTTGAGCCACATAGGATACAACTCCTAAGTGGAAGCCTCCTAGTACTTTCCTGAGGAAGGTCCTATGAGTCTGTTCATTTAGTTCCACTAGTTCAGATAGGATTTCCTAAATATCCAGTGATGTTGGAGCCTGCTTGTGAGTTTAATTTCTCCTGAGGATGAATGTAAACTGATCACAGTGGTTGAGCCACATAGGATATGACTCCTGAGTATGCACCTCCTAGTGTTCTCCTGAGGAAGACACTATGAGTCTGCTTGCTTAGCTCCCTTTCTTTGGTAAGCTTGTTCTGAAGCTTGAAGACTGGGATTGATTTCTCTTGTTCAGGGTCTTGCTTTAGTGCTTAGATTTGTTCAGATTCTGTGTTAGGGTTAGGATTAGATGTAGATCATTTCTTTCTCAAGCCTGTGTTTTGTTTGCCTGATGGTACTTCATTCCTTTTATCTGTTTATTGCTTGACAGCATGTTGTTTATATTTTAGTATGATTACTGTTATTTCATGACTGGCTTGAGGTCGAGACGAGCTTGTGGAGGCTGAAACCCCACACACATTTCCTCCCTCACTTGCATTGCATGCATTTTACTGTTAAAGCTGATGCTTTTGTCTGTTTTGGTGTATCATTGACATGATCCCTTAGGACTCTCATTTCCTCTGATGAGGATTTGATGATAGACCCTTAGGTTGAAACCTATGCATGACAACTTCTAGGAGTTCCCTGTTCAAACCTCAACCATAGGATGAATCCATGGCATGATAACAGTAGGACTTGATAGTCTCCCTCCTATTTGAGCCATTTTTCACCCGTAGTTTCCCGAACTACGTGAGCTCTGATCTCTCATACCTGTTGAGAGTACGTAGGCACAAGATGGCGATGTCTTGGCGAGCTACCTTCCCCCATAATCCTTCGTAGGGCGAACTACGTTGACTCTGATTTCTCATTCTCTGATGGGAATACGTAGGCATAAAGCGCGATGCTTTGCCGAGTCATTTTTCTTTTCTTTTTCAGCCAGCCTTGATAGGTAGATAGATTAAAACCAACCCGTCCAAGTAAACAAACAAGCGAGGATCCCGTCGAGTACGACGGACGTGAGGGGTGCTAATACCTTCCCCTTGCGTAACCGACTCCCGAACCCAGACAATGGTTGCGACGACCTTGTCTTACCCTTATTCGTCAGGTTTTTCCGATCGTTTCCTTTCCCGCTCTGAGGGATAAATAACGAAAGGTGGCGACTCTTCTGTCATGCCGGCACCTTATTTTCGCGCAAGCGACATTAACCAATTAACATGTGTAAATTTCTAGATTTTCACACATTTTTAACAGGTTAACCGGTTAATCGTATGTGTTAACCGATTAACACTGTTCCAGCAACACTGTTTTTGTTGTTTTGCATGCTTGCTTGGTACCGTTTCCTCTCGGATCATCATAGATCAGTGTGATGTATTAGGGATGAAATGTTTCTGGATATTTGTCACTGTTCTTGATTATTTAATCGAGACTTCCTCAACACGTGCATTGGTTTCCACTTGGATGCACACTTATGTGTTGTCGTTCATGGTGATGATTCCTTTTCTTGCATTTCTCTTGCTTTTCTTGCATCGCTGTTGAGGTCGAGACGAGCTTGTGACGGCTGCTGCCCCACACATTTTTCCTCCCTCCCACCATTCTAAGTGTGCATCTTCATGTTTTCATTTTCTACTTGTGATTGAATTTACTTGGTGCTTTCTTGTGCTTTTTGTCATGATCCCCATAGGGTTCCTAGTCCCTCCGTTTAGGATGGGAGTAGGAGAGACATTAGGTGTTCAATCCAAGCATGCTAACATTAGGGTAGATGTTCCCCCTTTTCATCCTAACCTTAGGACCACTTTGCATGACAATGTTAGGGCCATGTTTCCCTTAGACCTTCCGTGCGTCTCTCTTTCTCATCTCAAAACAATTCTAACTCACCTAATAAAGGCGATAAACGTTGTGCGCTACGAGCCTTAAGCTACATGGGGAATGATGAATGAGGGGTCTCCTCTTGCTTATCTAGAGTGTTTAGTATACACCCTTAGGGTGATATGCGACGCATTCGCCTCCAAGTCATAGTCTCTAGTGCGACATGAGTTACAAATCAAATTCAAAACACTTTTTCTCTAAAAAACACAAAAACACTTCAAATCTTTTTCATCCTTCGGGATTAATAGGAAAATATTTTCAGATAAAAGAGTGTTGTTAACTCTTAGTTCTACCGCAAACGGTAACGCCTAAGTCTCCAATGGTCGAGCTGCATACACCAACTGCTAGAACTACTTGCTAACCTTACTCGGGCCTAAAAATAGTTGAACCAACCGGTGTTCTTTTAGCCCAAACTACGTTTGCTCTGATCTTTCATACCAGATGAAAGTACGTAGGCACAAGACGCGATGTCTTGGCGAGCAACTTTTCCCCCTTCACCCGTAGTTAGCCGAACTACGTTGACTCTGACTTTCCCATTGCACGAGGGAATACGTAGGCACAGAGCGGCGATACTCTGCCGAGTCTCTTTTCTTTTCTTTTTGTCCCGAAGCCTATAGCGTAGATAGTTTAAACACACCCTTAGATAGACAACAAGCGTGGATCCCGTCGAGTACGACGAACGTGAGGGGTGCTAACACCTTCCCCTTGTGTAACCGACTCCCGAATCCAGACTTGGTTGCGATGACCTCGTCTTTTCCCTTTTTTGTTAGGTTTTTCTGATCGTTTCCTTTCCCTCTCTTTGGGATAAATAACGAAAGGTGGCGACTCTTCTGTTTTTCGCTGGGTGTTTTTCACAGTTGCGACAGCGAGTCCTGCCTCTTTCTCCAGAATCATGAGGTAGAGTCCAGTGTCATGGACGACAATTCTAATCTGACGACATAAGGGCTGCTATGGGTGGTTAAATAGTGTAGACGAGGATAGGCTTTAGCTAGCATCTCTTTTCATCGCGGGAGGCGACCATTATCACATAATTATCCCTAGGGAAGTGAAATTCAATTTTTCTTCAATCTGAAGTATTATATCAGCAAGAAAGTTTGAATTTTACTATTGTACTAAGTTGTATATGTTGTTCATAAGATCTTTTTCCCCTTGCACGCTTAAATTATCTTGCAAGTGTTAGAGATTGTGGAACATTTAATGTCTAGGAATCATACATTGTGACGAATGTTGCTTTAAAGCTTGCCCTTAGATCGGGTGTATGGGAGGTTAAAAGGTTGGAAGAATTTAAAAGGTTCCATTTCTAACTGCTAAAAATGATACATTTTGCAACATTGGAACTCTAGGAGAAGTAACTAAGAATGGAGCCTCCCTAGCTAGTGGGAGAAATAGAGCCTCTCTCACCAAATCTGGAGCATTGGTTATGATAGTTGGCACGACGCTGGTGGTGCGTCTAATCGAATGAGTTGCTTTCGATGCTAGCGTGATGGTAGTAAATAGATCGATGACCTTTGCAAGGATGATATTAGTACTAAAAAAGAGATAAGATCGGTAATTTGAGATCGTGGTGAAGAGATGGTGGCTCTTTGTGGAAATTCAAGAGAATCAAAAGTCGATTTCTATATACAGTGTCAGTGTTTCGTTTTGGAATCAGATATAGGTGAAGATCGAATGGACTTGAGTTTTAATGCATTAGAGTGAGCTTTTGGTATGACGGAGGTAGACTTGTATAGTTAGCACTCCAACGTCTAAGTCACTAAATGAGTGAGAAATTAGTTTTAGTCTATGTATGAATGAATGCTTGAAATGACTTGCATTATACTTTATATAAGACGAACGGTTAAAACCATCTCCATGAAATTCGGTGTCTTATGCAAATAACTAGTTGATCAGATATAACAATGAAAAGTGTGTTGGAGGTCGTAATCATGTGCCATCATCTGGAGTGAAGTCTTGCATGTTGTGCACTCCTTTCTGCACGATTTGTTGATGGACCTTTTTTTATGGACTTTACGAGTAACTCTGAATATGTATAAAAAATAAGTAAATTGAACAAATAATTTTTAAATTTGTCTATTTAAAAAGTCATTATTAACCTATTTATAAAATATAAATTACAGGTAGAATTCACAAATATACTCGGTGATTTAAATTTTGGCGATGACGTCTAACCTAATGGTTTTGGTTTTGGTTGTTGAGATAGAAATTGGTGAAGATATATCACATATAATTTTTGGTTTTGGTTGTTGAGATAGATACTGGTGAAGATATATCACATATATTACCGCGTACAATTTGTCTTTTGCCATCCATATGAACATTATGAATTATGCAGCATGGGAATCTATCAAGTAAAGACGTTCATGCACATAATTAGAGAGTATAGACGTAACATCTTATCCTTAATATATACGTAAAAGAACTAAAAGTCTAAAACCTCTTTAAACCCAATTCCTTGAAAGTACCAAATGCTTACCCGTGATACAATGGCCCATAGTATTGCCAATTGGCCAGCACACACTTGGTCACGGGAGCATTATGCCCTATATATATATATATATATATATATATATATATATATATATATATATATATATATATATATATATATATATATATATATATATATATATATATATATATATATATATATATATATATATATATATATATATATATATATATATATATATATATATATATATATATATATATATATATATATATATATATATATATATATATATATATATATATATATATATATATATATATATATATATATATATATATATATATATAACAATAGCAATAGTATAGTGAAGCTTAAGAGTGAAAGTTTCAGCAGAGAGTATAGATGGATGCATACAAGAAGGTTATGAGTGTGGTGATGTTGTTGGTCATTGCCAATGCCGTGATTCTGGTTAATGGCCAGTCGTTATGTCACATGACAAAACAAGGACTGAAAGCATGCGAGCCGTATGTCAATGGTGACAATTCTGCTGATGATCAAACTCCATCCACTCCCTGCTGTTCTGCTATTGCCAAAGCTGATCTTCAATGTCTCTGTCGTTACAAGGATTCAGGGTTGCTTTCTTTCTATGGTGTTGATCCAGAACAAGCCATGGAACTTCCTGTTAAGTGTAAGGTTATGGACTCCTTCCACTGCTAATGATCATGCGTAGTAGTGCAACGCATGAATATGCAAGCTACTATAAATAACGATGTAATAATCCATGACTTTGTTCTTGTTTTTACCGTTTTTTGTTTTTGGTTTTGATAAGAAAATGTTAATTGTTAGTGTGTTATGTTGCTGACTCAACTCTAGTTCTTAGTCCTAGCTCAACTACTTGAGCTACTTCTTGAGGACTATGTCTATGTTTTTTTTTAATATTAACGTGTTTGTTGCTAATGCTAATGTCATGGATGATATTTTGTTAAAATATCTAGTGTTTCCCAGTTGTAGATTGGATTAAATTGTGAGTTGGAGTAGTTAATATTATGAACTATGTTAGCCTTGTATTATGGGACTGTTTCCAGACCAAAATCCAAATTGTTGGATACTCCAACCTCAGAAATCGGTGTGGAGAAAGACACAAGAGTAGGAGAAAAGCTACTTTCGTTGTTTAATGACATCAATATAATAATAATAAATGAATATTATTACAAGAGATAGACTCTTCTTTCAAACATAAGAAATACAAGACTACATCTTATAATACTCGAATAATACTCTAAGACAAATATATGAAATTAAAGATAAGGTTCTATACAAATTAAAATGCTTAAGAACCGGTGCATCTTCTATTGGTGAATTATATAGTCCATAGATGTAATATTTGATTTGTATTGTGTTATGGAATCAAAATTCAGGGGAGAGCAGAAGATGTTGTGTGCAACGGTTACTTGAGCTTTTGTTGCAGTGAATGAAGGACTAACGTGAGGAAAATCAGTATCGGAGAGAAATGAGTAAATAAAGTTTAAATTTAAAATTTTGTACTTGAAATTGGCGCGATGCTATATATATAATAGGGTGGTTATAACAATCTGTTATTCTCTAAGCATGGGATGTGGAAAGTCGATGGATGTATCTTGGACCTAGATATCATATGTTTTTTTTCAGGATAATCCCATTATGTTGTAAGCAGTTAGATGAATTATTGTTTTCTTTAGGCCGCGGCTGTTGACCTTTCTTACCGGTCCAGAACAGTTACCTTCAACTCTTTGTCTTTGCCGGACAATGCGAGGATTTGTCGTATTCATCGGGTTCATGTCGACTACATCTCAACTTAAATGGAGAGACTATAGGTGACGTTAATGTCCTTAGAAATTTGCGTCTTTAATGCATCCCATGCTATAGATGTATTTTGGCAGGTTCTTTCATAATGATCTTCGATAACTAAAATTTTGAGTGTTTCCTTGAGATGAACTGAGTCGTTGTTAGTGCTCGTTATTTTTGATAAGTCACCACATAACCTCTTGAAAAGTCAGATCCTTGAGACGTTATTTTTCTTCTTTGTCATTTGTATTTTCATAATATATTTGTGGCTTAAAGAAGTAGCCACATCATGAGTAAACAGTCAAAAGAAAACGCTTCTACTTTCTTAGTTGATCCTTCCATTTTAGGAACTACTTCTACCTATTGTCGCTACGCGAAAAATGACACAGAGTCGCCACAGGATTTTATTTATCCCAAGGAGGGAAAGGAAAATAGCGATAAAATCTTTAGGAAAAGAGCATGGTCATTGCAACCAAGTCTTAGGGTTCGAGAGTCGGTTATGCGAGGGGAAGGTATTAGCACCCCCTCGCATCCATCGTACTCAATGGGAACCTTCTAGGTTGTTTAGCGTGAATGGGTGTTTTTATTATTAAAAGTGTGCTTGCTTAAGGGAAAAGAGGGGGTTGGTTTTTATTTTAATGCTCGACAAGGATTGTGGCTCTTGTGCCTATGTATCCTCACTTAAAAGAAGTGAAGAATCAGAGCTCCGTAGTTCGGAGGCTTGTGAAATAGTTGTTTGTTGGTTGATTTTATACCTTGAAAAAGGGTTTTGGGATTGATGCCCTAAGGCAAAAAGAAGTTTGATGAGTTGATGTTATTTTTAGGTTTTTGAGAGAAATTGTTTTTGATTAGGATCATACTAAAGACTTTGGATAGAGATGAATGTTTTGAATAACCAAGTCGAGCGCCTTGTATTCAAAATATTCGGAACGAGTGTAGGAGGGTTCCATTCTCATTCCTTCTCCACCACTTTAAAGTTTATGGTGTATGACCCCAATTATATCTTTATTGTGTTTTGGATTTTTTATGAGAAAAGTACCACTTGATGTTGGATCAAGGATTTTATTGTTTGTGAAAATTTTTGAAGTGATGCAAATAAGGTCGATGGCGAACGCACAAGGCGGTCGACTTACAAGGGTGAAAATGGCTCGATGAGAATCGAGAGTTTGTTTTCTTAAAAAGGGTTTTTTTGGAACCAAAGATCAAAAAGGACCAACAATAAAATATCCACACACAAAGGTCATGCAAACACAACGGGTTAGTCGGCTTGAATCAAAAGACAGACAAAAAAAACGGCATGAAATGCCATCAAGGGGTTCGTCGTGCGAACCCCTTGAAAAAAAAAATTCAAGGTAAAATAGCAAAAAAAACGTGAAAAACAGGGGCCTGACACGGCCCGTGTCAGGAAGTGCCTACAGCATGGGTTTTTGAGGCAAACAGAGGGCTGACACAGCCGCCCGTGTCAGGACCCCTTGGAGATACGCGCAAAGAAAACTTTTAAACAGCGGGCTGACACGGCCCGTGTCAGCCCTGCTGGGTGAAAAATATGAATTTTTCTCTTTGTTCTCTCCCTTTCTTGGGGTTCTTACAAAGGTTTCTTGGCCCCTCTTGGAACCTTTACACAAGGTGCACAGCACAAAACACTTAACATAGATAATAAATGATAAAAATGAAAAATATAAAGAGAGGAAAAGTTTGAAGAAATGGATACCCAAGAGTTGTTCCCCTTCTTGCAAAACTTCCACTGATTTTGGTTGGGTGTTCTCTTCACTCTTAACTATATGCTTTGATGGTTCTCCTTCTCAATGGTTCTCTTGTGTTTCTATATGACTCTCTTGATTTTTGTTGGTTTTCTTTCTCTCTATTTTTTCTGGTTTTCTAGGGTTTCTTGCTCTCTCTATCTCAATGTGTAGTGAATGTTGAATATGCTCCTCTTGTTTGCAGCCCCCTCTCCTCTTTTATCTCAGCACATAAGGGTTTCCCTACTTTCAAAATATTAGATTTTTTCATGGGGTAATGTCTCTTGCCACTTTCCTCATGTCACTCTCTTTCTTTCCATTTCCATGCAAGTTGCTATGCTGCATTTTTGCTGCACTACTTGCCTATGCTGTCACTTTTCTGCAGCACTCTACATTGCCCTCAAACCTTGTACCCATTTGTTGGCTTGTGTTTGGACAGCTCTTGTGGTCAATGTTACTACCTTGGGACAGATTTATAAAATTCTGATATTTGATGTGTAGATGCATCATTGTGGGTTCATTTCCTTGGTCTTATGACATGTAATGGTTTTATGATATAATGCAAATTGTCACTTCTTGCATGGGGCTGTTTTGGATCACATTAAAATTACCCATGGCCAAGTAAACATAGTCTTGATCTTGACATGTTCCAATGTTTAGTTAACTCCTAATTATTGTCCTTGGATGTTTGTGGGCATAATGTAGAACATGTAAGCTTGTTGGGGGCATGAAGGGTACCATTGCATGAATTTGATTAGAGGCTTGCATCAAGATTAGAAATAGATTAATTTCTAAACATTACTTGGAGATTTTGTTACAAGTGGCATTCTTGTAATGTCATGAAGTTTCCCTTTGTAATATTCTAGTCTTGAATTCATGAATCTTGAAATTTGAATGATGGATTTCCTTTATACCATTATTTAGAATGAATGGAATCTTGAATTATGCACTTGTGATCTTGACTCATGCTTTGCAAATTTGAACTTCCCTTTGATCAAGAATTTGAAACAAAGTTGGAGGAAGAAACCTTGAATTAGGCATTGCACTTCATGTATATTAGGAATATTGATCTTGAATATCCTAATATTTTTCAAGTAAGTTCTCCTTGAAGAAATCTACATGAGTAGACTTTCCAAATTGAATTAAACCTTAAATGATGAACCTTTTCTTCCATGTAGCCCATGATAGGCAATTGTTTTATTTGGAATGGAACAACAACATACCGACCCAATCTTTACTTTATGAACCCACATGCTCGACATGCAATAGAACGATGTAGGGTATGAAAGGATAAAGGTGAAAATGAGGGTGTGACACCTATACTAATGAAGATAGTCTTGACAGTGCCTTTTTGGATGTAGGTCCTTCTTCGGATTGGGGTGTATTGACCTTAGATAAAAACAAAATGATCTGCAGTGAGTATGATGACTTACTTTCTCGACTTGGGTCTTCGTTTTCCCTTCAATAATTTTGAGATAGAAGTTTTAACCTTTTGGTGATTGCTCATTCATAGCTAAGCCTCATGAGTTGGGCGTATATCAAATTCTTCCAATATTGGTGTGAATACCATGGAGGGAAGAAAAACTTCCTTATCTCTTTTCTTTCGCCTTTTCAGAGTGCAAAGTGGTTCAATAAACCAGCACAAGGTTTGAGCCTGATCACGCTAGTGCATTTTGAAAATTGGTTTTTCCTGGTCGTCACTCTCCATAAAGAGGTCCATGCTTCAATATGTAGCAAAAGGACCGACCGACAGACAGGTGTACTGGTCTATTTCATAAGTACTGGAACAAGGGTCATTTCTTGACAAGGAATGGATCATACGTCTACAAGGAGAGTAGTTTGTCCCAAGATGAGCTTTATCTAAAGAAAAATCATCTGCTTGGAACCTTCCTGTTGATGAGCGCTCGTACTAAGAAGGAGAGGAAAATCATTTTTGGTGAGCTCCCAGCATTCTTGTCCCCTTGCCATCAGTTCATCTGCTTGTAAGACTCATAAATTTGGTGATTATTATTTGCATATTTGATCAAGAATAAGGAAGATATTTGTCAACTAAGACAGAGAATCCTAATCACCCCAACTTTTGGTGGCCACTCACATTCTTCAATGTTGGTTGATGTTCCTCTTTTGACTTGGGTGGCGAGGATTTTTCATTAG